CAAAACAACACTAACCTTTTCACACACATTTTATTTTGATAAGTCAAGTAACAACCGGGAAGGTGGTGTAATGGTAACATCGCAGCCTCCAAAGCTGTGGCCATGGGGTTCGATTCCCCCTCTTCCCCTTGAAATTTTTGATTTTGTGTTTTCCTCTCCTGATTTCAATCTTTAAATTTTTGATTTAATAGCAACATTTCAATAAATTTGATTTTTTATTGTGATCCTCTTTGAAGTTTCACATCACTCGACAAATTTGATACACCAACATAAAGTTTTCAGTTGAATTGATGAACTGGGTCACAACATCTTCACATCACTCTTCAAATTTGGTATCGTAGAAGGTTAACTGGAATAGAGAATGCAAGCTTTGTACAAACAAAAGAAGGTTTTGACATTTCGCGTTGTATTTTGGGGAACGTCTTTGCACTAGAGATTACCAGTCCTCTGGGAATTGGCTTGATCAAGCGAAGGTGCAAGGAAAATGATGTTTTGTAAACTGCTGTGCTATCATTTTCCTGAGGTAATTTGTAGTGAAAAGGTATCTCGATGTAATTGGTTCTCTGTTTTTCGTTTAAAAAACTCTCAACATTCAGAATTCATGGCCATGACACATAAAGGGCCAACAACAGCCCCGCAAACAAGGCTCATCATCATCAACTAGAATTTCATTGAAACACCAAAGAAGATTCAAATTAAGTGTCCTTTGGTTGAACAATGTATCATCATTGGCGAGTCATTCATCATCATCCAACAACCAAAAGATGAAGAATGATTGCCCAAACCCTCTTATTGCAAGTGGTGTTTGGCATCTTTATTTCTTAAATCCTCACAATTTAGCACAATGATTTGGACCTTCATATCTTTCTCGATGGCTCTTATTAATCAAATATCCTTGCATGAGGATTATATGTCACCTAAAAGAATCACAAGACTTGAATTCAAATTCCGTATAGATATCCTTGCTTGCATGAGGATTACAGAACACAACACTTAAGATTTGAATTCTTCCACACTTTCGTTCCATGTGTTGCAATCATTTTCAATAATCTTTTTCTTTCACTTTTCACATAATCAGGAAGATATTGACAATTCCGTTGAATGAGACGTTTTAAAGGTTCATCGATATTGCTATTATTCATTTTGGCACTTGTTTCCACAATTTCATAATTCAGTGCACCAATAGATTTCAATTCTTCTTCAACCCTATCAGTGGTCATCACCATTGTTGCAACATTTGAACAAGTCCTAGTAGTAGCACCATGCAACACTTGATCCATCTTATTAATCATGAATAAAATTGGAACATTTTCATCGTCGTGAATTCTGAATACTTTCCGAATGAAATAACAAGCGTCTTCAAGAGATTCCCTTCGATGGACATCACACACAATGATAAAGCTGGTACATTTTCGTATGTAATGCTCAGTCATATTACCGTAATCATATCGAGAGGTATCATCGTACAGAGTGACCTTGAAATTAAGACCGTTAATGGTTAATAGTTTTTCAAATGAGTCATCTAAAGGTGGATCATAATACTCGTCAAAACGATTCTGCACAATTCGACGAATGATACAAGTTTTCCCCACACCCTCTAATTGTGACAATTATTCAAAAATTTCAAATGAATAATGAACATTAATAATTATTTCAAAAATTTGAATGTTGTTGGGCATTGATTCATTTCACGCATGACATATCATTCCATTCTATTACATCCACAAATTCCAACATCAATGAAACAATTCTCTTACCTGGTCCAAGTACGAGTAAGGATGGTGCTTTTCTGTCGAGTGTGTGAAACCTTTGTTGATGTACTTGGCGATTTAAAAACGATTCATAATTGCAAAACATTTCTTATAGGTTCGTTTCGATAACATGTTCATCACATCTGGTTCAATAAGATTAAAATTATTTTCTTGTTGAAGAAGATTCCTTTCATTTGTCGTCATTGTCAAAGTCTTCATCATTGTTATTTGACTCTCAGAAAATCCAGACAAACACAAGACAAGAGGTTTCCAATAATTGTTCTCCACATAATTTCTATAATTTGTATTCATTGAAAATTCCTTGCATATTAAATCTAATTTACACAATTCCATCACATCATTGGTAAATGTTAATAAATTCCGATTTGAAATAGAGTACAATAGAAAATCAAAAATTCGGAAAATGAGTTCTGGTGAAAGTGAGAGAAGGGCAGAGGTCATGATTTTTTCAAATGAAAGATGACAGTTTTGTCTAAATTGTTTCAAAATAAAATACTTTTAGATATTCCTCTTTACAACATTTTAGGTCATCATGATGTACACCTAAAATGTTGTAAAGATCGCTCCTCATTCAAGACATGCCTGATATTGGAATCCATTGTTTCCGCCCTGTGGTAAATCTAAGATATTAATTTCATTTTCCAAGCTCATGTAACCTCCAAAACCAAGTTCCATTCATCGAATTCGATTGAATTTAGAAGAGAAATGGATCCAACTATAAAAACCACGAACCATTCTTGCACAAAATTAACTAAAAAAATATTGGCGATTGAGATCTATTTCTTTTATCTCATATTCAAGCAAAATCATCATCATCATGGGCAGACATCATCATCATCATCATCATCGCGGCCATGTAGGAGCTGGATTGGTGGGCCTAGGATTGGGTCTATTAGGAGGAGCTGTTATTGCTTCTGCTGTTTCTAATACACACAGTTCTCCAACCACCGTTACCACCACCACAATACCTTCTTCTTGTTCCGTGTTTTGGCATGGTACTTGCCCAAGATGGATTCCTGTTGGATTTGTAGTGGTAAGTGAATGAATGTAATTTAATAGATTTGAAAAGCCTAACCCATTCAAATTGGTTGATATATCATTCACTCATTCATTCATTGATCATAATCAATAATATTGGATGAACGAATGATCTTTCTTGATCATAATTATGATCAATGTTTAAACAATTTTCACGAATATAGCCTCAACATTTCTATACCTACCGCAGTACATGGATCTCACAGGCTCAATCTCTCTTCTATCAACATACCATGTTTGGTGCCAATTACCTTAACAAACGAGGCTTTAAGAGAGCCATGGCCTGTCTTGGCTTGCACAAACATCAAGCCAAACATTTGTTTTTCATGATGGATACAGATCGTAATGGAGTGATCACTCTCGATGAATTCATTAATGCTTACTTGTTTGTCATGTCGGGAGGAATGACCTACAAGGGAACAGGATTTATGGGCATGAGTGGTGTGATTTATCCAACAAGTTTTGCTTTGAATGTGCAGGTTCAACCTCCTCAACAACAGGTCACAACCACTACCTCAACGTACCACACCACGAACACACCAAATACTACTTGTAATTATCAACCTCCAATGCCACCTGGTTACCAACAACATCCTCAACCTGTAGTGACTTCAACTGTGTATTATCAACAACCACAACAACAACAACAACAACCAGGATATTATCAGCCACCACCTTATCAACCTCCATTTAATCCTCAGTCGGCCTATTTACCTCAATCACAACCACAGTATGTGGCAACCACTCAGGTCTATCAACAACCACAACAGTACATTTCACAAACATCTGTACCTTCACAAAATCAAATTTATCAACAACCAAATACTTTTAATTAAAAGACTAATCAGCAGCATGATTATGAGCAATACTGAAATCTTGAGTATTTATTAATAAATTTGATTACATCCTTCAAACTTTTAATGCAAGAGTTGCCTTTTTTGAATGATCATAAGCACTGTCGCCATGACCTCAGTATTAACCCTTAATTGCTCTCCATTTAGAAAGGTCAAGTTGAATGCCAACTAAGCACTTTCACCATGACCTCAAGTAAGGTTAATAATTTCATTGTTGAAACAGTAACGAAACTGTATTTACTCAATGAAATTATTTCAGTATGGGAAACTGTGACAAAAAAGATTATTGATGCCGTTTCACATGTGGCTCATGCCCCTTCACATTCTTTCCAGCCAATCTTGCAATATCTAACATTTTCATGGGTTGTGCATGCAGAAACATATTCGTCAAACTATTGGGTATCCAACCGCAGGGATTTGAGTCGAGTAGCTCACTTTCAAATCTCCATTCTCCAACTGTTCGTATCGTTGTGACACAAAGATATTATTCGCTCTCACTGCTGACTTATCAATTTCAAAATGTTCAGGAGGTGTATAAATCTTATCAATACTTGTCAAGACCACATAACTCTCACTCGGAGAAGTCTCCACAACTTTCAACACATAAATAAAATCTCGATCTGAAACAAACGGACCTGTTTCAATTAAAAAGTATTGAATGAGAAAAGTTCCATCCTCATCGGTCCATGATTCAATGGTTTCATTTCGTTTTGTGAGAGGATCCATTACGCGTTTGATCTCGAGATCCAATGAAAGAAAAGGTTTTCGATATTCCTCTGCTGTGCAAGATTCTACGAGAATGTCTCCTCGAATGACGTAGAGTCCATCAAATCGATGTTGATCATGACTTGTATAGACTTTTAAATTAATTAAACAAATTCGAGGATATTCACCATGGTGATAAAAAAAAAAGCAATAATAATGACGAGGTCAGTAAAGTGAAAATAAATTTCCGAA